ATATGCCTGATCCATTTGCGCTGATAATAACCCAGTATGCGGTTTTAAGTTCTTCGCTGGAATAATCTACATAGGTGACATTAAGTTGGTCACTCAAAGAGGCCTAGTTGTAAAACCTGGTTGTGAAGTAACTTGACTAGAGTAGGTCACGTGAAAAGAAAGGTTATTAAACCGTTGTGGAATCTGGAATCAGTAAAGTAGTGGAGAAGGTGGGAGTGCTATAAGTGAAGACGCAATTGATAGCCTTTAGCTAGCTTCACGAAAATGTAATCAGTGGTGAATATGAAAGAGGAGTAGCAATTTATAGAACATTTACGTGAAGTAGTTGACATCGCAGAATTGAGTTTGCTTCTATAATGGGCCTTATATAAGCGGCGGATTCATCAAAGGTGTGGATCCCCCTCCTCCTTTGCGTGTGCACCCACGCTCTGAGAGGTCAAATTGAAATGAAAGATGAAATTCTCGTCACTGTATTCAAAGTTAGCCAAATTTTTGCACATACATGCAATACATACGTAGGCGGTTGATCCTTCTTGTAAAGAAATTGCCAGAAGACACTTTCTCAGCAAGAAATGGCAGAAGGAGTCTTGATGTCCAACTATTTTAGACCTTCAACATGCTTATAGCATGGATGACTTTGGACTCCCGTGTCCTCCAACGACATCGAGTCCACCTCATGTAGTAAATGTTCGAATTCAAACCACTATTCTTTGTCTCATTTACACTTTTCCGTCCGTTGTCTCTTCCCACTATCTAGAACATAACCCGTTTTAAGGTGTTTTATCCATATTGTCGATGGCTAGCACGGTTGAGAGAGGAGACTGTGTAAAAATATGGAAGAGCGCATCAACCCACATTAAGCAGGTATTGAGATGCCATGACATTTGACGTTGGAGAGAGGTCAATAAACCCACACACAAATGGAGATAAATTAAAAGGCCATCGCCAGCACTTTAACAACATTCATTTAGAGCCTATAAGTCAAAAAAGCGACTCGTGTTATTCCAAAATAAAATGACTAGTATTCTATATTGAGCAGGAAAAGCAATGTGTTGATAAAATGCAACATGAACTGAATGCACAAGGTTTTAAATCAACTTTGGCTCCGATAAAAATGGAAGGTGAAGGCGGAGTATAATAAGCTCAACGATTCCGCTTTAAAAAGCGTAAAGTGGGAAGAGTTTGGTGCAATCTAGTAGAATACTTATACATTAAGTAAATTCCAAAGGAAGTGAACTTTAAAGCGTTAGTTATTGTTAAGGTGATGATAAAGCTATCCACAGTCCCAGATTTGTTTAAATCGTTTACTCGGTATTCAAATATCAAAACCTGTTTTCACTATTGACTTCTTTCTGCGCGTTAAAATTGTTGTGTTTCCTCCTAGTGACCAGACAACCGTCTCGCCATGGTTGCTTGAACTGGAGAAGTATCGTCTAAACAGGCGAAAATTGCACTCGAGTTAATTCTGATGGACCTCAGTTCTCAGTCTGACAGACTTTACAGCTTTCATTGCAACGTAAGAAAGTGCCTCTAGATAGGACTGACGACTGGCAATTCCACTTTGGTTGTAATCCACGATTCATGATCTAAAGGTATGGATCGCCACCAGTAGGTATCTTCAGAAGTACATTAGAATGAAGTGGGACATCGTGTTAGGTAAAATAAAGGAGTTGGGTTTACTTATAGTGCTATTTGCAAACTGAAGTAAAGCATTACCATAATCTCAGGTGAGTCCAACCAGTTCAAAATGTGGCGAGGTCATTTGCCTTAATTACGGTAATTAATTTGATCCGAATTACTAATATATACAAATGCATTTGTTGAATTTTATTTTATGACATTCCTTATAAAGAAAAACATTGCCTATTAACCTCCAGATGGCTTCTTCAAATCCGACAAATTATTCCAAATTTACTCTAGTTAAATGCGTACAAGTGGCCCTGCGACGCATGGTTGATTCACGGTCTTAATTTCTGGGTATTAGGTCTTGACGATGGAGTTGTGGAGGTGGAAGGCAATTTCAATGCAATATACCACAGTGAGGCGGTCAACCAGACGTCAGGTGGTGGTGAGGTCGTGGATTACTTCGTGCAACGCCTTTCCACCAATCAACGATTAGTCCAATCGAAAGCGGGGTACCAGCATTGCATTGATTGGCCCTCACCAACTTGGCTAACCAATCAGCTAGGAGGGCATTAAAATTGTGCGCCCAACCCTACCACTGTGCATGCCTTACTTTACATGAGAATTCTGTTTTCCTCAGTGTGCTGCCATCAAATTCCTACAGGAAAAGCACGTTCAAAGAAGAAATGTGTAGAAAATGCAAAGTGGATACCTTTAATACACGAAAGTGGAAAATGATTTTGTCCTGCAAACTTTCTCTAAACAATGACGCCTAAATGCAAATGAAATGGCACGTAATTGTTTTTAAGACTTGCGAGTGGATCACGAGAGTTTTTTGAATTTTTATTAATTGATGTGCTCCTATTAGAAGCAGTATTTTCTTCAACAGTTCTTACTTTGCCAATTAATTTGATATCCAGAAAATTTTGTGGATAGATATCTTTCTCTGTAGCGACTTGCACAAACGAAGTGCATATAAATAACATTCTGTCAGCGTACGTTTGGTAATGCCTCGAAATATTTTCGTCTTCCTGAAATCATGTAAGCCGTCGATTGAACGGGAGGTGAATCGGTCAGTAACGCCTTGATGGACAACTCAATGCTAATGCTTCATGATGGAGAAGTGCCTTCATGCGTGACTGGAAGAGGCAGGTTAGTCGGCAAGTCTTAACCGTGAAATAAGTTAGACTTTCCTCTACATTCTCGTAATAATTCGAAACCAGGAATGGCTCCTGCCTATTTGTTGATAGACAGCCCTATTATCCCATGGGAAACGGAAGAGTTAGTTGGAAAAGACAAGCAGGAAGGGGAGGTGACTAAAGCCTATTTTTTGTCTCCATAAACAAAAGTTTTCCCGAAATGGGAACTTGTCAGACTGTATTCTGTAAGGGGCAGGCAAGTGATCTTATTTAAACGACTTTACTCATTAGAATTTTAATAGCGAAAACATCTGGAAAGTTTGATCTAAGTCCAATTGCGACTTGCTTGAGGCTTTAAGAGAAGGAAAGCAAAAATCGGTTATTAAAATCCATCATTTTATATTAAGTGGTTTAAAGAAAACCATTCGTCATGTTTTCTTGCATTTACTACTAATTTATTCTATATGCTTGCCATATTAATGATCTTATTATAAGATATCTTATCCTTTCACTTCCTCAGGGCTTCAAACCCACCTGCTTCTCAACCCTGAGTTATCTTCTCAGTCGTCACGCCCACCACGTAGTAATGGTGCGAAAGGCCGCTGACCTTGACTTTCATAGGACGCCACGATTGGATCTTACAAGGAATCCAACACAGGAGGAGAAGCCAATGAGGGTTGAAGAGGATGAGGTGGTGAAGACAAGAGCAAAGTCACCACAACTACACCAACCACCACGCAGTGCCCTTCACAGACAATACATGGAATGGATGAGAGCGATGCTGGAAGTGGCAGAAGATGGTTATGGTGAGGAAGGAGGAAGAGAGCAGAAATTCTAGACCGATGCAGAACTCTGCCACTCTCAGACCACTCCGCAGACGCTGAATACCAATATAAGAGTAGAGAAGCAATTAGTGATTGCCACAGAACACAAAAAGCAGCTATTTAGCACTCTGAACGGGGACAAACTTTCTGTTAGTGAAGCCAAAGGAGAATTATTGTTGAGTTACTTTGCACAACAGCGCTACTTAATTATAGTAAGTAGGAGACTGCACATCAAACTTCTGACTAGATTACAGTACGGAATAGACGAAATTTAAATAAATAAGCTTATTATTAGCCATTCAAGTTTGATTTGTGAAAAAAATGTTTTTAGTGTTAATTCTTCCTTCAACTATTGGAAATGCGTTAGTCAAAAAGAACCTTTTTTTTCATAAATCTTGATGCTTCCAGCTCCTCCTAGACGACATTAGAAGATGGATTAATCGACGAAGAGCTTATCTTTACATGTACAGAAGGTACTAAGACGGTGCCCACGATCGGGAGGGCTGAAGAACTCTGAAAACAACCTTTGACATCAATGCATTTATTTGTGACCCTCATTTATATTTCAAACCGTGATCATGGTGTACCCTCTCAAATCCTGAGTATGATATAGAAGGACATTGTTGTCAAATTTAAGCACTATTTAAAAACAAAATATGCTGTAAAGCCTTTAGCCTGTGTGAGAATGCAGATGACCATGCATGTTTACCAACGATTCAAGATTCGTGTGAAACCATCCCGACCATGGCCATCGCCCATGTACTCTAATGCCATCGCGCGATCCGAGTAAATACATCCGATCAAGAGAGTCGGTACTTTGGCAATGCTGCCAATTTGATAACCCTGGAAAAGAGAAGAATAATATTGAAAGACCGCTACTTAAATGGCTTTACAGCAGTATTTTTGTTTGACATAGCAGAACATTGACTAGACGACTTCCATGATTGTACTTTCTAACACTCCGGATGTGGACGTCTGACGATGGCGAGTAACTCTACTAAGAGCAGGTATTTGTCTCGGGTCCGTCTCCTATGGGCAAAAGAACATTGATGCTGGCATTACCACGAAGAACTACGTCACAATCGCCCTTGAAGTTAGCGAATAGAGAAGGTGGATTGTGCTAGTTACGTTCAAGGCAACTTATGCACCATGAATTTGATATAGAGCAGAAAAAGAGACTTCAAGGAGACAGAAACGCCTTTGACCTTGTTGGATATTCTTTGACTGTATCTCCACACTTCTCTTAGTGTTCAACCAAAACCTATAAATCAGCTTTGACATGGGAAGACTTGTCAGCACACTTGACGCATTCATGGTCACGGAGCATGCACCAGCAGCAGAAGAGGCAGTCACTGCGAAGGATTCGTTACATATGTCACATCACAACTGGTCATGATTCAATCAGTCGTTCAAAATTAGGCACACCTTTCATCTGCCAAGTAATGTACACAGGCAGAGGAATGGGCTTATCACGGAGGGGATTGTCACTGAAGTTTAAACGCATGGTCATAGTCAAAGCGTATGCATAAGCGTGTTGTATGACAATGACCACAGTCTAATTACCATCAAACGCTGTTTTATGGCAACACCTATTATAAGTGCGGGGCGGCAGCTTGATTGATGATGTCTGGACTGGAGAGTGACCAGAGTCACGGTTATTACCAGGCGTACTATGACATACTCGTCACCCATCACTACGGGTCGTAGAGTCATGAGACAAAGTAGAATGGATGACTGGACATTACTAACACAGTGTACAGCTAGGAGACTACTGGTAAACCAGAATAGCCATATTACAGAATGGAAATACAGCCTAGGGGGAACTACAATGTCGGCGAGCTAAAAGCACGGCCAGACGAAATATAGCAACATTGAATGCAATGAGACAATGAGACAACCACAACACCCATCGGGTTGCCTGCATTCCATAAGTTATCGACTCGCAAGAATAATGAATAATGATTTCTTTACAAATATTTTGCCTGTCGTCACTTGGATGCTTTCAACAAGTCAAGTAACGGAACTGTCGGCTTGTACCAATTCATTTTGTGTCAATTTGTTGAAGGGAGATCCACCCAATCACGTCATTAAGGGAGTAACTTTTGAGGCGACTGTTTGACACCTGTTCTAAACGATTGCAGTTATTGGAATGGATTGACTCACGACCCAATTTACCCCTCCAAGACGATGTGCATGCGAACAGTCTCTTGCGAGTATATCCATCCCCAGGTGACAGTGTTATAAGAAGGCATTGGAGATTCAACCAGATGCCTTTGGTGGAAGCCGACTTCGCCGTCCCTATTGGTGCCTGACACTAGAAAATTTCGTAAATGTTTTAAAAGAACTCAATATTCGTGCTTTATTTAGAGATGGAAACCCTCGCCAAATACAGTTACAAAGGCTGAGTGTGAGATTTCTAATTCATGGCTTGAAGCTCTATCGGCGATATCAATTTATCCACTCCAAAAGGCTAAAAACATTGATGGCTAAACGGATACCCTAAATGATTTTAAGGAAATACTTATTACAGTTCCCTATTCTAAATGGTCCCCTTGCTAAGGAAGAGACATGTATTCTAGCTTTAGGAAAGGAGTGTATTATCAGGCCACTCCAAGGTATGAAGAATTATTTATTGTAGCGAATCTCTTTCATGTCTTTGTGAGGTAAAACTTTTGGTCTTGTGTCATTGTAAAATCTGTGCTACTGTACAAAACCACCTTTATTTAATTGTCAAACATATTTGTAAAGCAATTTTATGAGAGAGAACTTCATAGGAAAAGGAAATCTAATAAATGTGCCTTCTAAATTGATTCATCAAATTAGAGGAGAAGGCTGAAGTGTTGTTGTAACACGATGGTTGCTTAACATTCGGTGTTGGCGAGGAGCCACTTTTGAACTGGCCTTTGTATTACGTCGGGTGGGCTGGCCTTCTAGCCATGCCAGTAGCCCCAATACCTTCGGTATGGCGAATATATATATATATATATATATTCTTCTCGAGTGTCATACCTTCTTTCGTCTTCAGGGATGTCTTAGGGCGCTGCATTGGTGACAACGAACGGCGAACACGACCTTAAAAGACATGTATCCTAAATTCTGCTGGCAGGCGTTAAACCTTAGCCGGGCGAAAGAAGCACATTTGCTACAAATGGGAAAATCTGTGATGACTCTGAACAGAAGGGTTTAAATTAACGTCTGTTTTCGGCAACTAACCCGGCTACGTGTTCTGCAGGAAAGCTATTAACAACTGCAGTGACACTAGCCGTAAACCATCTGGAAGTTTCGTTGCAGATTTACCCTCCCGTATCAGTATAAAGCTGTCGACAAAGTGGACTCGCAATACCTCCTTCACTTCTCTACTAGGTGGATGAAGCCAGGATAGATTTGACTGTGCATCACTAAAGTGAGAGGAACGTAACAAGTATACACGGACGTGAACATATTTTGCCATAGACCCATGCTAAACCCAGCCCTTCCTTACACAAATCTGCTTTGAGGCCAGCGATCCTACGTCTATCTATGGACACGCATAATGACCAGCACAGTTCCTCATTCCTTGAACCTTTTTCCAAAACCGGATGGAACTACAGGTCCAGTTAAATTGCCAAGAGAAGTCAATGACGTTGATGATTGGCACGGCCGGCTCGTGGGTGTTTCCTTACAGCACCGACAACGGTGAGATGGCTGACACGGGAGGTTAGCCGAGGGGAGCACCGGGAACGACACTCAAAAGAGGAGAGGGTCAATGTAATACGATAATAGTTTAACTCTCACTTTTGGTGAACAGCCTCTTGACTTGGCCATTGTATCTCGCCGTGTGGGCTGGCCTTTGCGTAATGCCAGTTGCACAAATAATTTTTTTTCGAATATATATGTATAAACTGTCCTGTAATACTTATGTTGTTTTAATGTGCCTTTCAGGGAGGAGGCAAGCAAAAAAAAAAATTCGAACCTGGGAACGGGATCTCCCTCTCTCTTACCTAGTGACTGCGCCTCCCCCCCTTCTTGAATATTGTATTTTCCTTATACATCTTGTCGTCTTTAATAAAGATGTCCAAAGTAAACCAACCGGGCTTGTCTAGGAACGCTAGGAATCGGGAAGCGGAGACCGAGGAGTCTCGCTCCACAGTCCGAGTGTTATATATATGTATATTTGTCCTTAAAGAAGCCTTAGCACGCTGCAATTATTACTGTAGGCCAAACCACCTTCCCTTAGTTGGTCCCTTTAAAGAATAATTAGTCGTGACCACTGAGGAGAGGTAAAAATTTAGAGGCAAGAATTTTTTGGAATAGATGGCTTTACCAAGTCAAGAGGGCTTGCACCTCAAATTTTAAAACAATAACAAAAAGTGATTTTTGCAAAAAAATCAAAAAGGGAAAAAACTAATTGTAGAACTACAAAAATTTAATCATGAGGTTTAGTAGCGCTTAAGAGATAAATACATAGTAGTGCAAGGGACTGCTATTTCGTTTTTATACGTAGCTGACAAAAATTTAACACAAACCATCAATGGTATTGTATAGATTTTATTAGGCTCAATTTGTTCAGATTAACTAATCTTAACAGCTAGACACGGCCTCTACTGCCCCACTTTTTGGATGCTCGGGTCCTAGTTATGAAGACATTTAGGGAAATTAAGATAACGTCGGCTCAACGATTGCGTCACCTTGGTCTGTTTATTCTTAATACTGAGGAAGGAACGTTTTTGAGTAGAACGCTATCAAGCTGGGGTAGCTGTTGTTTCACACATTTCTATTTCTAGGCAAAATACTCATTTTTTACGTGATCTTTTACACGTGCCTCTTCGGATTTTTGACTTGTTTAATTTTCTTTGTTACAAACGTTGCAATCGATGCGAATGTGCCCTCTCTCACAGGGAAACAAAGTTTACTGCGGCTTAGTCCAGGTGCGTGACTTGGCATTTAATCATATTACCTCTCTGAAATTCGTTACACCCGAATTTCTTTACATATCTTGATCCCATCAATTACTGTTAATTGTCGTAGTCACCTAAAATGTGTAGAGAGTCACTATTTTATAAACAGTATTTATTTAAACTTGCCTAATTGTAGTCAGTACATTCTTAAGTCAAAAACATTCATGGCTTTTAGGACTCACATTTTTACCACCTGTTGCTGCCAAGGGAAAAGCGTTTCCTTATCCTCTCTACAACCCGGATGACAAGGCTAAATATGTTAAATTTATGTGGAAATATTTGTCAGACTATCACACAGGGTCTTGGAATTGTGATTTTTATGATGGGACACGCGGCCCAGGAAATTTATACGATGCATGTCGCTTCCCTCTTCACTTTTTGGGACCATGTCAAGTTCGTCTATATTATGACCCAGAATTTTGTGTTTACTTAAAAATGAACAAGGTAGGGAGATTATATTAATACACACCACCCAATATCTTCGGTTAGATCTAT